GTCTAAATTTTTAGTAATTAATTTATGTTTATACTTTATACTATCTACTCGTCATAATTTCATAAACAAATAATAAGTTTATTAGTAAGGGAATTTTCTATTATTTTTTTTTCTTCATTTTATAAACATTAACCAATTCAAATATTGTAATAATAATTTTTTAATTATCCAAACAACAACAAAAAAAACAGTGTTTTCTATTTTTTTTTAACTGTATATTTCTTCTTTTATTTTTCTTTTAATTTTAACCAGTTTTCATCCATTTACATAATGTTAAAAATCACATACTAACTAACTACGAGGGTTCTTAAATAATCTACAACCCTTTCTCTCTCTCCCTCTCTCTCTCTCTCTCTATACATACAATACACACAGATACATACATGGGCGCACGCGGATGTATATTTCTATAGAATGGAGATGATATTAAAAGTACAAAATATGAGTTGATGGATTAATATAATATGAATATATACACACACACATACACACACTTGCATTTAGATTCTTTAAGCTAATTACTCTTTTAGGTCCTTAATCTCATCCACACCTTCTTCTTCCTCTTTGTAACACAGAGAGAGAGAGAGAGAGAGAAAGAGAGAGGAAGGAGAGTAGCAGCCTGCAGGGTCGTCATGATGGAAGTTATTGATGATGGTAATTAATGGTGATAGTAACTTGAAACTCATCCCATGTATTTATTCTTTTCGGTTACTTCTCTGTGCCAATCGCTATTGATATATATATATATATATATATATATCCATTCGCCAATTAAATTAATTAATTAAGATTTAATTAATATAACATTCCCACGATATATGTCGTAAATGTAGTTTTTTCTAAAAAAAAAAATTATATAATATATCATATATTATATATATATGTGAATGTATGAATGATGATGATGATATATGTATATATATATATATATATGAGTTGAGTAAGCGAGTATGATAGGGTGATGCATGCAGTATTCTCAAAAGATATAATACCGTCACTTTCATTCTTTCCTCTCTTATAATTCCATTCTTTCTTCTACACTTGCGCATGCACACAGCAATCATTCTCTCTGTTAGCTGAGCTAGGGTTTCCACCCCCTGCATTATTACCTTCCCAATTCTCTTATTACATTTTTATTTAAGATTAACCCACCAACTACTCAATAATTAATTAATTAGTAAGTAAGTAAGTTATATAGCAATGAAGATTGCCTCATAGAAAATATAAAATCTTGCAATTTAATATGGGCATTAACTAATTGTGACATATGAGATGTATCCATGTGTTAAGTAGTGAATCTTCTCATTTCATAATTATATCTTAGGGCATATAGACATGGGACCATATATATATATACATATATATATAACCTTTTTCAATATTGTTATACAAATACCCTCATGTTATTATACATAGATTGATTTTTGTTTTCGTTTGATTTGATTATGTAAATTATTGGTTGTAATACACAGATTAAGCCTCAAAATTAAGAAAATTAAGAAGTAATAAGGAGTTAATTATCAAGATCCAGTTTTAGACCAGACAAGAGTTTATCTGCTCTAAAAGTTGAAGTGAAAAAGATGGCTCCGGATTATGCGTAGATATATTTTGTTTCCTAATCCACACTAAAACCTAATTTGCTCATGATGAATCCCAACACATCAAGTTTTCAAATGCTTCACAATGAAACAAAATTTAAAACAATATAACATACATATATAAATATATATGTGAAGAAAATAAAAGTAGGGTTTGTAATTATAAGAGAGAAGAGTAAGAGAATTGAAGTTTAGGAATATAGAATAGGTAGGTATAGGCAGAAGATTAAGAAGATCACGTGTTACGAGAAGGATACAGGATCTGACACTCCCCCATTCGTTCATTCAATTGAATTGAATTCAATTCAACTAAAAAGCAAGACAAGAAATTTAAGAAGAAGAGATGATGATGATGATGAGGTTATGAATTTCATCCTCCTCAGAATCCGAGCTACAGCGACTCGCTTGGAGAAGCCAAAATTTGATTCGTTTCGGGTAAAGCCATGAAAAAGTGAATCACTCTTTGCTGCCTCCTGAAATGGCGTCTTGAAAAGCTCCTCCGCGTTTTCTTTCAACCATTGGGAACTAACACCAAATTATATATATATATATATATATATATGTATTATATTTTTACAGGCTGTAAAATTTCTACAGGCTAATTCTTAGTGTTTACATGGATTTTCCAGCTTTTTTCTGTTTTACCATAGGCTACTTCGTAGTCTATATATATGTATTTTATATATATATATATATATATATGTTTTTGTTCTTAACAAAAACACTGATATCGGCTTTCTTAATCACATCTTTTGTCACTTCAGTTCCAAAAATTAGAAAACCATAACTGCTAAAAGACTTCAGGTTTTTATTTTATATAATGTAATTTACGTGATCATTGCAAAAAAAAAAAAACATCTAACGAGTCTAAAAGAGATTCTACTTTAATATTTTATGTGCTTCAATATACCTTTGTATTTAAACCACATTTAATTATCGATAATGTGTTAATAATGTTCTTAGAATTGCTATCAAATTGGACATAAGCCTCATAATGTTCTTAGAATTGTCATATTTATACTCATAAATAGTTTTTCTTATAAATATTTTTATTTAACTTCAAATAAATCTTTTATTTTGTTATCTTCTTCTAATATTGATAGAAGTTTTGCTTTTTTTAATTAAGAAAATATAAAAAAAAAATTCATCTATAAATTTCATAAATATCATAGAGTCTCACATATTTTACAGCTATTACATTATAAGAATTGTGTAGAATTAAAGAAATTCTCTTGATTTATGAATCTTGTTCAACTCATAACGTTATTATGAAAAAAGAAATAATCATTCTATTTCAGTTCAGTCATAAAATAACTTTTGTAAACTTCACTAATTCATAACCATGGTAAACATCTTGATTGGATGACTGTGAGGTGATTCACAAAAAATTATTTATCCTAATTTTTGACAAAGTTGGCAAGAAGCTAAAAGAACAAAAAGAGAAAATATGATAGAAAATTGGAAAGTATTTCAGAAAATCGCTACATACAAGATATGATGTTATTTCTTTCCAGTATCGGTATGCGACCAACTTGAAAAAATAGTTGCTAGATTTTGGTGGTGTCAATGATATGATGAGCAGAAGATTCATTACGTACCATGTATGAACTTACAGAAATTAAAAAGTTATGCGCGTTTAGAATTTTATAATCGTCAGTATTCTAACTTAACTATTTAATTAAATAATGTTGGATGAATAACTTTGATACTTCATCATCTTAACCCTTAAAAATTTTAAAAATCAAATATTTTTGAACGGGAGATTTTCAAGCTATGAAGAAATGTCATAACTCTAGCTGTACTTGAAGATGCATACTAGTGGCCATGAAATATTATTAAGGGACACTCAATGGTGGGTGGGAAATGGTAGGATCTATTGAGATTTGGGAAGACAATTGGGTCAAGACCTACTTCTCTATCTCCATTAAGAAAGGTTTCTAAGTTTATTGACTCAAACACATTAAAAAATGTTCAACTCAAACATATTATATTGAAATAATGACCTGTTTACACAATTTTTGATCATAATGCAACTAAAATAATTGTCAAGATCCCTCTTAAGTTATGGATATTTTGAAGATAAGTTAGTATAATGCTACAAGAAGACAGTAACTTAAATGTCAAACATAGGTACTAGTTCTTATTGTAATCGAGATAGAAGTCTTCTTCAACACATTATAATTGGAGGAATGTAGTGAAACAAGAAGCTCGACAAAAAGTGATGAGGTATGTCATTGGATTCGACTTGTTAGAGGTGTTGTTAATTCTGTAATTTTCATGTCAACTTCCACTCTTTCTTAGGTAAATAAGTATAAATTTCTAAAAGATTTCTACAATAAACTTCATTTATTCCAAAATACAGTCTTAAAACTTCTAAACCAAAGTTTTTTCTGATGTCAAAATGCCAAAATTGACAAAACAATCCGTGAGTAATGTTTTCATTAAGACAAATCAAAATCTTGGGAGCAAAAACTCCAACTGCAGAGGCCAGAATGTCTCTAGCCAATCATGGAAGCATAAACGACTACTGATGCTTGATGATCGCGATCCACCTTGAAGTGAGCATGAAAAAATCTTCTTACCTGCCATTATTGAAAGAGATTAAGCTAAAATAGGATAGGAAACAACTATAACTGAAAGCAAAATAAAATGGGAACGGATTTAAGAAGCTAAAGAATCAGGAAGAATAATCAAATTTTGTGTCTACCTGTATGAAAGAATGTGAAGTTAGAAAATCCCTCAGCTTTTTCTCTTCTGGCTCAAATAATACAATATGACTAGGTGAAGACCAATTTTTTGCAAGTTCTGAAACAAAACCAGCAGGGTCCTTCATGAAACGATCTGACTCATCTAAGATTCCTTCCTCTTCTCTGTCGAACAAAAAACCAGATGTACTTCGAATTTTGAACTAGCTTTCTAGATATATATATATATATATATATAGAGAGAGAGAGAGAGAGAGAGAGAGACTAGAAGAAGATTTCGCTAACTGGACAAGTGCAGACCTTGGGGAGCAGTCCAGAAAATGCATAGGCAGGTTCTGATGAAGAGAGGAGTAGTAAGGTGTTGCATGGCAGGGCATAAGGAAAAAAATACTCTCTACTTTCTCATTAATTGCTTCTCTTGACAGATAGTTCATCACATCCTCTGTTCCCCTCTGTTTAATAAGTTTGACAGGTAAAATATATAAGAAAACAAACAACAGCTCATAGTCACTAGGAAAGAAATTTCCTGAAATGTCTCTTCTAAGTTCATGGATAACAAACAATTAAATTTCCTTTATGCTTAATTTGGAAGTTTGGAACAAATGAACATGGAATTAGAAATTCATTTGGAAATGAATTTCACAAAAGAATTATTTTAGAACTGAATCCCTAAATTTGGAACAAATCATAATATTCTATGGAATTCAATTGTTTGGAACAAAGTTATTCTCAAAATAACCATCATATGCTTTAATTAATTTCACAACTGTTGTAATTTTATTTCTTCATATTTGTCAAATCACAAAAAAATATTTTTTTGCAGCAAATACAGAAGAAATTTTTCCCTAAATTTTTTAACTATATAAGCTCATATGGGATTGGATTTTTGCAGCAAAAGCAGTATCAGAAGTTTGTTTTCTTATTTGCTGGAAAAAAAATATATTTATGTATATGTATAGCTTCTGATCTCTGGTATATATACATATGTATATATATCTAAATATATATATATATATATCAAATTAGTTATTAGAGTGAAACTGCAGTAATTAGGCCTTTTAGTCAGTTATTTTGTTAAAAATCTGAAATTAGTTTCGAATTTCCACCAAAATTGATGGAATTTTGAGTTAGTCACCACAATCCTAGTAGAATTCATTTGTGGAATTCGTTTGTTCCGAACACAGACTTAATGAACAGTCTTTTTGAAAGAGGACAAGGGAAAAAGCAATAATAGGAAGCCAAACCTATAGAGAATCAGCACATCAAATACGGAAGCGAACATAAAAAAAAAAAAGGTTGCTATTAAGTAAGAGGTGACTGGTGTACCTGATGGACCAAACTCATATATAGTGCCATCGGAATATTAGTAGCCAGCAAGAAGAACACTGAAAATCTAAGACTTAAAGGCCATTTGCGACTGCTTGAAGATCCATTTCGTCCAGGACGTGAAGAATTAGATTTTTCCATAGCAGCTAGTGAAAACCCCGAGAATATCAAAGCTACTGGAAGCACTGGAAGCACAAACCTGAAGCTAGAGTGTATTAAAGGATAAATATAATTTAAGTAGAAACAAAAACTGGAAGAGAGAATTTGTTACCCCTGATAGATCTACCTGAATTCTTTGTGGCCTAGTACACTGTAAAGTCCTAAAACCCATGTAATAAGGCCAAAAAGCTTCCAATTTTTAGATTTGATGATGCCAGCAATAGAGAATGGTGTGAAAGTAAAAAGCATGACCGGAAATCCCTGGGTGAAATACCAGTGCCATTTATGAGTTCCATAATAATCTCCTCCAGAGGAAAGAAAATTGAACTTCAGAAAATTAAGAGGTACTAAGATCCATGAGCCATACATCAGTCGATCCAACAAACATGTTAATCCAAGCACCAGAAACCTAATACCATGAACACCAGTAAATATAAGGTCAAAATATGAACTTCATTGACATGCATATAATAACAATAGACAGGCACAAACAGATCAAAAAAAGGCACTCACTTAAGAATAACTTGAAATGTGTATCCATTGCAATTCATTGAAAGTCCATTCACTGCCTCCAATGAGGATTACATACAGTTTCCAAGGGAAGATAGAAAAACATGAACAGTTCCAAATAGAATATTTTGAAGAAGAAAGCCTCATCAATCATCTCCAAACGAGTGCTTTTCTTCAACCAAAATAGACATCCGGACTTTCTTATCCTTGTTATTTATTTTTCTTGAGGGAGGGGGAGAGTGGGGGAGGAGGGATCGACCTCAAAGTTCAGACTTTAATAAAAGAAAAGCAGAAGGTCCGATGTAACGTTTCTACATTATTATCTTCATACAAGTAGTGTCAATGTAACATTGTGGGTCTATCTAGCTCTGGGTTATTAGATCATGTATAATACCAATATCTTCTTAGCTGGACCGATAGAAAACCAACACAAGTCGTTCTAGTCCTAATGGATTTTTTTATTAAAAAGAAAAAAAAAAAAAAACCCTTACTTGTACCCACTTAAAAAGACAGCAATATTCCCCTAAAGTTGCATGTTAATACATAGAATCCACTCCATTTCATTTTTATTCTTTGATCCTAAATTTACTCAAATCTCAATACCATCTGAACCCGACTGATAATGACTTCTCCTGAAATAATACATAGTTCTGAATAATTTGCTGAAAATACTTGACACAGATATTTCACACACAAGCAAGAAATATGAGTGTGAATGTCTCTGTAAGTATTATGAAATATAAGATAGTATAAAGAATTCATGCGCTTCAAAGTACAAAAATTGGATAAAATGGATGAAAGAGGCAATAATACTTACCCAATAGGAATCACCTCTACTGCAATAAACCTCAGTCTTCCATGTGTTGAAAGCAACTCAAGAAAGCCAACATACAACCATATAATAGCACTTGTTGGCCTAATGGCACAAGCTAAAGCTGCTAAAGCTAAGGCCCACTTCCTTGAATCCTGGGGAACTTTTTTGGAGGAAACTTGCATACAAGGCCAGTACCATAGGCTCACCAGCGTAAGAACAGTCTCCAAACAATTTGATAATGTACGATTGATACAGAAAAAAATGAACCAGTTTGCCAATTGACAAAAGAGCTACGCAAGAGTCAAGTATACCATATCTACCAGTGCCCTATCCTTAATAATAGAAAGATAGCCTCCAATTACAAATAATGAAAGATGCAGATTAGAATATTGTAATTCTTTTAAGAAGAAAACATTTGTCAGTGTCACCTGTATAAATCTTCCATACAAGAAGGAAGCTACATGCTGTTCAATTGTTATTAAATAAAATAAGGATACGGTCCATTTTGCAACAGTACTACCAAACAGAACATCAGAAAGTCGGAACAAATATAAATCACCAACAGCAGAAAATATGGATTGCAGCATCCGGGGAGAGTGCATCTGTCAATCATTAAAGACATGATACAGTTAAGTCTCCATATGGACAATAAAAGAAGCATTGCTGTTCCATCTAGCATCAGTTTGTTCCACACAAAGGAAAGAAACAAGCTAATATTTCCTTTTCCTTTTGGTGTGTGTGGCTAAAAAGAAAATTACATTCCACATTTTAGCTTGGTTGATGCTCTAACAACAAATTTACATTCAATAATTGTAAATTTATGCAAAACAAAAAAGAGCAACTTTGCTTTCTCCTTTGTCAAACTACTAATGAGAAGACCAACATTTGCTTTCCCTTCTGTCAAACCACTAATGATAAACTGCTATCTTAGCAAGTTGAACTCCGTTCAAAGGAAAATTCATTAATTAATGACTTTAAATTTCAATTTCATTTCCTCAAAAGAAACAGATTCAAACTGATAGACCACCTAAGTTATATAGATCAAAGATAATCCAAATCCGCTAATTAATGACCATACTTGATACCGGAAACCACTCAAGAATAAACAATCACATCATAGCAGCAATATAGTTCCAATAAATTGTTTTCACATGAACAATTATCTTCAGAATAGAGGGAATAAGAATACATTTTGGTATTAAAGTAGCAGTTTGGCCAAACAATCTCCTGAATACAGTCCTTAAATGTAGAACAGCTACCAAAATAGTAAAAATTGTTTGTCAATGCATTTAGGAGTTAAAAACTAAGTTAAAAAAAATGTACCCATAATGCAGGAAAACAACACTTTCAACAGATTTATCAAACATTATCCATCCAAGTTGCATGTGCAAATTCCTGTTACATATTAAGTAAACCTACCACAATAAATCACACTATTAATAATCCATTTCCTTTTGCATGTGGATCACGTGACAAAGTTCTCTAAGGAGAAAACTTCTAATGTTTTGAATAGTTCAACCAATCAAAATGTATTAGCTTTGGACAGATAGTTTATATATATATACACACACACACAGACATACATTCAATGTAAGACCCTCACCCGACTCTTCTACAACCCCCGGAGTTCAAATCTACCATAGTATAGGCTTATGATTTACCATGAACCATGGAGTATCAAGACCCAAAAGAGCAAGAACTTTGTAAAGACTAGCAAACAGCAGTGGGTGCAAGAAGCTGCGGATGCCCTTTTTCCACTCCCATGTCAAATGCCCATACCTGTCAATCAATTCAATAAACCAATCAATCCTTAGTATTGTCCATTATTAGTTATCAATTCTGAAAATGATTTCAGCTACAAATGCTATATTTTTGGAACAAATTTAGAATTCATGTGATATTAATCTGCAAATATACACTTTTTTAACTAGGAAAAATGCAAATTCTGTTAGAAGATAATGGAAATTTAGTTTGAACTCCACGTGGAAGTGGAACAATACATTCAATATTTAGAATATGATGAAAGTTTTTTTGAGATAAAAGAGTAGAAAAATATATGATGAAAGTTGTAATGCATTTTTTTCAATTTCATATGGAACAATCTTTCTGTTCCAATTACATATAAGTTCAAATCTTATCATTTTAGGTAGTAGGACTTTCGTCATCTTGTAGTTGAGAAAAATGTGGATTTGCAGATAAGTTCCAGACAAATTTTGAAATTGTCACAAATGTAGCCCAATATCAAATTTGACTAAATAATTTCTTTAACAAGCCAACTGATGTAACAAACATGTCTGAAACACCACAAAGGAGAAGAAAACAGGCAAAAGATCACCCCTGAATGCAACTTGCCCAATCAATAAACCAATCAATCCTTAGTATTGTCCCTCATTAGTTATACATTCTGAAAATGATTTCAGCTACCAATGCTATATTTTTGGAACAAATTTAGAATTCATGCGATATTCATCTGCAAATATACACTTATTCTAACCAGGAAAAATGCAAATTCTATTAGAAGATAATGGAAATATAGTTTATACAAAGCTCCATGTGGAAGTGGAACACATTCAGTATTTGGCATATGATGAAAGTTGGAATGCATTTTTTGAATTTCATATGGAACAATGGTTTTGTTCCAATTACATATAAGTTCAATTCTCATCAATTTAGAATTGTCACAAATGCAGCTCAAGATCAAATTTGACTAAATAATTTCTTTAAAAAGCAACTGGTACAACAAACATGCCTGAAACACCAGAAAGGAGAACAAAACAGGCAAAACATCACCCTTGAATGCAACTTGCCCAATCAAAAATGTTGCAGAAGTACATAGGATAATTACCTAACAGTGACAACAGAGGAACTTTGATCAATACCACACATCAAGGACAAATGATTAACAGATTGGATGAAACATACAAATACCATCTTTCTTTTAAAAGAAAACACCCATCTTTAGTATTTTAGGTAAATAAAATAATTTTGTTAAATCCAACATAACAGTACAACCAATGCTTTTTTAACATTCTGAAGCTTGAAAGCATCTCCTAAAGCTAAATAGTGAATTGCTGAGATCTAAGCTACTATATCTAGCACCTACTAAACCAAGAAAACTCCTAATAAAATTGCATAATTGCTTTCTTTAGCAACATGATTACTTGCAGAGATGACACCATGTTATGGAATAATTTGTAATGCAAAACCAAACTTATCAACGACATGTATTTGCTTAGGAAGGGATTTAGAGTATTTTGCTCCAAGCCATAATCTTTTTTAATGTTTTTATTATTTTTTTTTTTTTGAAACAAAAAAATAAGTTGTATATTAACAAAGTACCAACAAAAACGGGGATACCACCCATGTACAAAAAATTTACAATAAAGTTAGTGACTCAACGACATTCCCAAAATTCTCATTACAAATAATGTCATGAGCTAATAAAATAGATCCAAATTCAGTCACTTATTTTTTAGCCTAGAAACACTGCTTTCCTCACCCCTAAAAGCTCTACTAACTTTTAGCCACTTAATGTTTTTATTATTTTACATAATACTTTAACATAATTTTCGTAATTTTTAAATCAAGTCAACCTCAACGACTCTAATTTCATTCAGCTTAGCTCCATTTGCAGCCAACAACTTAGTTCCTCCACTTCAGTCATTCAATTTCTCTAAAGTGCCAAAAAAACATGATAGTAATATAGAAAAAAAGAGAGCTTGAACACAACACTTACAGAAAACTTATTAAGAACTAAAATTAGAAATTTTATATCTCAACATATGATAGTAATAGAGGAAATGTTTGTCATAGTAAAACCAAGCACATTTTGTCCAACCTTCCTTAAATGAACCTCCAATGAGACTTTATCCAACCTATCTTTAAATGAATCTCCAAGGATAATCTGTCCAACCTATCCATAAATGAACCTCCAAATCAGAAAGAATTGTTTAAAAATTTACCAAAAATAGCATAATTGTGGCTCAAATTTGATTTGAAAATGGCTCAACAAGGGCTCACAAGGCTCCACAAAGAGCTCAGGCATCACAATGGCTCACTAGTGATGTGGGCTTAGTTCCAAATATGGCTCAGCTCAAGACTGGCTAAGCTCCACAGTGATTCACAAAAGTTTCACTCGTGTCTTCTGCATGTAAGGGCCACAAGCACCCTTTCAACATTAATCGCTGGTTGAGCTAACTTAATAGGAAAGAGGACATATATCGTGCTAATAGTATGCTCCAAACTAAAACATCTTAACTTAATAGGAAATATACACTCATACTAAATAATATGCCTGCAAGTAATAATTACTAAATAAACTAAGTACCTTACTAATTACATATAAACATATATAACATAAATATTTCTTACTATTGAAATATATTCACTTCATGGCCTTCATGTTTTGCATCAGATAGCTTAGACCTTGCAGTTCTGATCAACTTTGGGGCCACAAACTTTGATCTCTCCCAACAGTTATGGCCTCCTTCAAAGCTCTTAATTAATAAAGCTCACATTTTTCATGTGTTAAGTTGAAAGGAAGTACAATAAACAAATAAAAACTCCAGTTTTGAATTTATAACATAGGTAAGTAAGATTTTGAAAAATTAGCATGCAAGAATTGAAGATTACCCAAATACAATGTGATGTGCAACTTCAAGTGATTGCCAATGCTCATCTGGGTTGAAATAAGTCTGAATCAACAAGGCATTTACTATTCGTATTGCCAAACAAGCCACAAAGATTCTCTTCAAAGAGCTAAATAGACATAGTTTTGAGGGCACAATTTCATCTTTGTTGGAGAGATCGGGACTCTTCTTTGTTGACAAAGGAGCAAATGCAACATGCTTTCTTTGTTTCATCTTTTATTCTCTTCAAAATTGGAGGAGCCACAAATAGAGCTGTGTCAAAAAGATAGGTCCCTCATTGATTAGTGTCCATTTTATGAGACTAAATTTTCCTTCTCAAAGATAGTTAATTGCATGCTTAATTACGGTATTGAGCGTGGAATTGACTATCTTTTGCCCAAAAAATGGAAAAGCTAAGGAAGTGCTGCCGAAATATAGTGGATATATATAACCATGCAACCCACCAACTAGAGTAAACTAGTTCTTATCCATTAAGTAAACATTAGCTTATACTTGTATTAAAACAAATATATAATGTATTTTCTTAAATTAAGTTTGTGCATATTTTGACTATTATAATGAAAATATTAGTTGTAAAATTTATTACTTTCGTGATATCTTAAGTAATATAATTATAAGCATAACTATATATACACAATTGATTAAGGGCAGCAGTAACTAATTTATATGTTTTACATAAAATATAAATATATAGTACACATAGAACTTATTTAATAAATGGTATTAATATCCCAAGAGCATCAAATAATTTTTATTTAATGATTAAACTCAAAGAGAGAGAGAGAGAGAGAGAGAGAGAGAATAAACAAAGAACTTTTTTTTTGAAATAAGATAGAAGAATTTTTTTTTTTGAAATAATTATGAATTTCTCATAATTAGCAACCTCACATTACGTTAAACATTTCAGGTACTAGGAGTTACTATCAATCCAATCAAAAGGTGAATACAAAATACAATAGAATCGGAAGGAATGAGACAACTGACTATGTAAATTAAGGCTTAGTTTACATGCATTTGTAAGTTTCTTAACTACTAGGATGTATGTGAATGTGGTATTTATTATGAAAGAAAATCTAGTGAACATTGTTAAATTATTTGGAACTATGATTCAAGATTAGATGCATTAAAATAGAAAAAAAAAGCGGAACTACTCGCCAAGAGCAATTTCACCATAGCCTCCTCTAGTGAAGAATTGGGTCTCAAAATCATGGACCAAAATTGCAATTCTTTTGAAAATTCAATCAAACAAGAAAATGAAGATAACTACCCCTTTGATACTGGTCTAACAATTTCACATGCCATCTTTCCAATCTTCACTATTTCTTTTTCTGCTAAATTTATCATGTTCACCCAACAACTGGCACTGATGAAAATGCAATTTAAACTAAATGGTACTCTTTATTGATCTCTTTAAAGTTTAGGAACCATCACCCAGAATATCCAAAGCAAAAGGGAAGAGTAGGAACTAGAGAAAATAGACCAGATATCACTTAATTCCAGCTATATAGTAGCTTTGCAATTCTTTAGGGGTTTTGTCAAACAGACAACAGATAGTATAAAGTATCATAGAAAAATCCAAAATTGAACAATGCCGCCATCTTACCTCTAAGACAGTGTTCAGGCTAAACCATGTGTTAAACGATCAAGGATATAAAGGTGGATGATTAGACACGGTTGCTCCAGGAGGAAAGAAAAAATTTGATAAATCGAGCATGCTGCAGACTCGCATACATGGACTAATTCTCGAACATTTAAGTAAACACTTGATAAGCATACACATACAAATTCACGATCATTAAGACATTGATTCTTTGCTAAATGCTGTTAAGAAAATAGTTACTACAGTTAAAATTAGTTAGAGGGAGATAGTAAGAGATTTTTAACTCAATATAATTCAGGCATAAATACCCAAATCAGGGGAAATGTACCTCATTCAAAAAGAATTAGCAGAAGCTCTCTTCTCCCCGTGCTTCTCTCTAACCTCCTGTGTCTTTTCTCTTTCTGCGTATCAATTCAACTACCCAATGTAGGGAATCACGTGGAATCAAACAAGAAAGACCATGGCACCAATTCTAGCAGCACCAGAAAGTTAAACAAAGGAAACTGTTAAGCCAAGAAATCTAAAAATCACACCGTTTGTAATGCACATAACTGATATTCTTTCCGTCATTTTAACAAACAGGTGGTAAGCTAACCAATTGGCAGCGAGATCCTTCCAAACAAAGGAAATCTACGCGCACCCTATCTGATCGAAAACGAAATAATGAAAAGAAGGAAGCTAGACTTGCAATACCCTTCTAGCCTTACCAAGGATATCATAAATTTTCTGACAAAAACAAGGCGACAAGTGGTATTATTCATCATGCAATCAAGTAATCATCATAAAATTACATAGAAAGAAATTATACCAGTAAAACCCGGATTCAGTAGTTCATCCTCGCTTTATTTTACGTAGTGGTGTATGCTTTGTGTTGTTGCTCTGTCTTCGCTTCTTTGGAGCTTTCAGACCTCCCTCTCAGTTCTGGTCTAGGCTTTGTTAAGTATGGGGGTCAAGAATCAAATGGGCTCTTGACGGGCTTAATTAGATTCCATTGTTGAAACTAATCTTAATTCGGTCTGAAGTGTATCAGATCAAATAATGTTTAGTTTGGATTCATTAAAGAAATTTTTGTATTAAAAACTAAAAATAATTAAATATACAAATAATATATATTATGTAAATAAAAGATCAAAATATTAATATATAAATAAATTTTGGTCTATAAGACCGAACTAAATCAAAAATTTTCTGCTCAATTTTGGGTCCAAAAAATTTCTTTAACAATTTTGAACGATCCATTATAAAGTCTAACAGATTTGGTGGAAACCAGAGAAAGAAGCCGAAGAAAGTAAATTATAAAACCAGCAAACTCTATTTTCATGTTTCCATATCTCGTACCTTTTCTTTAAGACCATATATATATATATATAAATATATATATATACATTACGTAGATTTTTTCATTTTGTGGAAGTTAATGTCTTCTCAAATTCAAAAGAAAAAAACATGTTTGGTTTTTTCTTTCTCTGACGAAACTTCCTTCTCCGACTAAAATAAATTAATACATCAATTAAAGAAAAAGAAAAATCAAAGTTCATTTAAGCCTTTCCCATTAATGAATTAACGTGTTCTTTTACAACTTTTTTAACAAGCTGGAACCTTTATAACTTATGAACACAAACTCGTTGTGAATTTAAAGCAGGTTTAGAAATTTTTCTTTTTCTGTAATTTTTTAGACCATTTATAAATTTGTGGGTTATGGGTCTCGATCATTAACCTAATATAAATAAATAAATATACATATCAAGTCGGACTCTGACTTATTTCAATAAAATAAATCAATACTCAGTCTTATCTTGATATAAACTTTGTTTCTATCCAAAAATTTTTGCTCCAAATTTAATTTTTATTTAACAAAAATCAATACGAGTTGAGTTCAGACGAATTGAGTTGAGTGGGCTGAACAAGCCGATGAAATTGAGTGTATTTTCATAAAAATAAATATATATATATATATAGCCCTTAAAAAGCCAAAAAAAAAAGTGAAAAAAAATACAAAACTTCTTCCAATTGAAAAACAATATATATATGTATATATAAATATATATATAAAAGATATGTGATTAGAATTGAAAAACAATATATATATAAATATATATATAAAAGATATGTGATTAGAATTTTTAGAATATAACTACTGCCTAAACATTCAAGATGTAATAGTATTAAAATTCTTCTCATCCTCCTCCTTGTTTTCCCTTGGACAAGAAGTGTAACAGCCCCAGAAATTTAAAATGAAATATGTGTATTAAAAATGTCAAATGCGGAAGCGAAGTCAAAATTCGATTAACATCCCTTACACTAAAACCAAAAACGTGCTCAAAATATAAAAGATCAAATTAACTAAAAGAGAAACTCGAAAGTAAAAGCTATGAATATGACTATGGAGTCTTTAGGCGTCCCCTTCGTCGTCTTCCTGCGGAACGGCCTCGGGAACAATGTCTTCCTGATCTGAAATGATTAAATAAGGAATGAACTACACCAGCCTAGTAAAGACATCACGATATCTCACCGTCACGGAGGTAAAAGTGGGTAGAAAACACAAAAAGACCAATGGAGCATAATTTACAACAAATCCTTTTATCAATAATAAAACCTTTACCATCCACTTACTTCGGTGAAATTCATAAAACAATATACGAAAACAATAACATTATCATCATCATGAAATCATATAAACTGTATAACATAATACTTATCACGCCTTTTGTAATTCAATCATTACACAACATATTTTTCCTCTTTTACCAGTCTACTAGTATCCATGGGGATCCATAGGGGTCCCGCTACCCGTGAACCCTTAACACTTGTAATCAGATTCCAGGGCCGTCCCCATACCCCGTCCGGTATGGGTGCCAAAACTATAAACCTCAATACCCTGTCCGGTATGAGGGTGAAACGGGCCGTCCCCATACCCCGTCCGGTATGGGCGCCAAAACACATAGGGTCTCCATACCCCGTCCGGTATGAGAGACCACAATCCCGGTAGGGTTCCCTACGGACCCGATCCGTCCACCATCTCCCAGGATATCTAGTCAAGCTGATCACATTATACAATTATCAATTTACATAACATTTCATTCCCCTTTTCTTCAGTCAGCATCATCAATTCACACGCAAACAAGCAAAACAGGAATTTATGCCAAACAAGACAACATACAGCATCGGTTTCTCAGTCATTCAACCCATAATCAATAAAACAGTAAAATATGCACATGAAACTATGAAATGAAAACATCAGACCTCATACTGCATTTAAAACTGTAAAATAGGCCAAATAACAGTTAACCGACAAACACACTAAACTCGGGCTCCATTAGCGACCTTAAGCAATTTCACACATTCGTTGATTCAAGAAATACCGTTTTATCATTATTGAACTTTAATACCGTGATAGGAAATAAGGTGAGGGGTCCTTACTCGTTTCGGGGTCTGAACACGGCTTCACAGTGTGCCTATAGGCTGTCCCTAATTTTTCCTGAATTTTTTCCGGGAAACTGAAACGCACTACTGATACCTGCACGTGTTCCAAAAAATCCCAAATTAGGCCCAGGGCCCCTTTCGACCAATATCGCAATTCCGGCACGGCGGCTCCGCCGTGCTCTGGCGACGGCGCCGCCGTTTGCGGCGGCGATTCGCCTCGGGTTGGCCGTTTCCGGCCGAATTCGGCCACACTTACATCGGTCCCTGTGATAAAACAACCCTAGGGCCCTCGGTGGGCCAAAAAATTGCGAAAAACTGAAGCTTACTGGCGGCGGTGCTCTCGGGTGCGGCGGCTCTCCGGTGAGGTTCGTGTTTTGGTGATTCGGCTCTGATCAATCTGTAGAGAAAAGAATGGTGATCACGGTGATATAAAAATTGCATCAAACGGAAGGCCGCGAAAGGGCCTCATCGGAGGCAAAAACCGATGAAGGGCGCGGCGCGCCGCTGGATTTCGGCCGTATTTTTCAGCCG